TGTATGTGGTGGGTGGGAACTGGACTAGAATGTGAAGTAGAGCCTCCTGTTAACCACTGTGGCATCTCTCCAGGCCCATTATTCTAACTCCGTTGACACACACACACACTAAGTGACTTCAATAAAATTACATGTTTAACGTTCCATACAATCAATGATGACACCTATGTCATCCAGTTATTATACAAGCTACATGCTCACATTAAACCTCCTGTGGTAACGTAAATACAACTCTTTTTCCATTAAAAATATATTATTTTTAACTAATTGCTTTAGAAAAGAATTACATTGCAAAGTTTAAAATTCTAGATACTGTTCTAAATACTAAAATAAAATTTTGTGTATGTAAAGTTACGAGGCAATCCTCACACCACAGTGGCTAGAGGGTTTTGATTATTATGTGTTCAGATGCAGCCTAAATTCATGCCCCTACTGCATTTTACCTAACTTTCTCACTACCTCCACCTACTGGTGGGTAGTGGGTAATACTACATCTTGCTGGGCACGCATCTGCTGTTAATATTCAAACCCAGGAAAGGATAAAGAAAGACCCAACTTCATGCAGGTCATCTTTATAAATGTGCACAGTGCCCTGAATATTATAACAATTTCTCTCACGGTGATCCTTCTTCGTGCCTTTTTGGTCTCTTTTGTTTGGAGAATGTTTTATAAATGGAAGACTTCTCTGGTCCTAAATTCAACAAAAATTGTTAGCTTTTCATCATTCTAGAACCCTAGGTTATGGACCCATGACAAAAATAAACTAATAGTTCCCTCGACCAATAATTGTGTATGCTGGTGAAATTACCGCTGATTATAAATAAGTGGAAAATTGTGATACAGTTAACAAGTTAGACTGGATGCTAAGGTAAAACTGTATTAAAACCAACCAGCATCGGGTGAGCCTGGAGGCTGTATCGTCCCCACCTTTGACAATGATTCCTGATGGAAGCTTTGTGACATAGCACATTATTCAAATATGATACCCCACTTCTATGCCAGGTCAGATGCTGAAACAAAAGAATATTTGCTCGGGTTGTTAATACCTTTTTGTTCCTAAAGCTTTTCTTTTTTTAAAAAAATAAATTTTTATTTAAATTAAAAACAATCTTATTATACATACCAATCCTAGTTCTCTCTCCCTCCCATCCTCCCACTCCCCTCTCAACCCCCCCATCCCATCCCCCATCCACTCCCCAGAGAGGGTGAGGTCTCCCATGGGGGAATCATCAAAGCCTATCTCATCAATTGCCCCAGGGCCTAGGCCCTCCTCTGTGTATCTGGATTGAAATAGTATCTCTCCATAGTGAATGGGCTCCCAAAGCCCATTTGTGCACTAGGGATAAATATTGGCTCCACCACCAGAGGCCCTATAGACTGCACAGCCTCCCCAACTGACACCCATGTTCAGGGGGTTAGTTCAGTCCTATGCTGGTTCCCAAGCTGTCAGACTGAGGTCTGTGAGCTCTCACTTGCTCAGGTCAGCTGTTTCTGTGGGATCCCCCAGCAGGGTCTTGACCGCTTTGCTCCTCCCTCCTCCCTCTCCACAACTGGATTCCAGGAGTTTGGCTCAGAGTTTATCTGTGAATCTCTGTTTCTGCTTCCATCAGCTACTGGATGAAGGCTCTAGGATGGCATATAAGGTAGTCATCAGTCTCATTATTGGGGAAGGGCATTGAAGGTAGCCTCTCCAATATTGCCTAGATTCTTAGTTGGGGTCATCCTCAAGCTTTTCACCAAACCCCAGAAACACAAAGCCAAACTGGAACATCACCAAAACATGCAATTAATATATGAATAATGTTGGCCATACTTGTTAGCAACTGTTGTATGTGTTAGAGATTTCACTTAGTAACTTTATCTGGCAGTCAAGGACAATGGGAACCGGACCCCATTGTCCTCCTAACTCATGATCTAGAAGTTCTCACCTTCCTCCAAGTTTGCATATATTTAATAATGTATTTTACAAGAATAATCTCTCTCCCAATGTCATATGGCACAGTCTGCCTAGTATTCCCTCTGAATTACAAGTATTTTACACAAAATATTGGTTTATAATTCCCTGTCATTCTAATAATTTGTTTTCTTCATTTCACTGTGTGAAAGTATTAACAGATGGAGAAAACAGAAAAATTGAAAAAACCTGCAAATACAAAAGGGTGACTTTACTTTTTAAAATTAAAATTGCAAGTGAAAGACACAGAAAAGCTCAGAGAGATATTTTGAAGTAATTTTGAAGACAAGAAGATAAAAGTAATAATGGTATTCATGAGATATATAGATGTCCAGTTGCATATTTTTATTTAAACTTACAACTTGCCCCTTTGTAAAAGTTAAGGATTGGCAGTCTAAAATATACTAAGATATACATGAAGAAACAATTATGTTTGATTTTTGCATGTTTATATAATGGTAAGAAAACCATTTAGCATCTTTCTCCCATGAAATACATGTTCCAGTTACAGGGACTCATAAGAGTGAGTAGAAGTCAAATTCCTAGACTAACATAGGAGCTCAAAAGACAGTGTGACTCTTAACACAGTAGGTAGTAGGCACCTTTTACATTTCTGGTTTCCCCAGTATGAGATCAGAAGAAGCCATTTCCACAGGTTGGCTGGTAAGAAAGAGATTGGCAGCTTTTAGTAGAGAAGCAAGTTGGACGGTAAAAGCTGGACCCACGATTTAGGAAACTGTGGGATCCAAAGCCCAGGGTTGGGTAGCCACAACCAAAAGACTGGAAGCCCCTGGAACCAAAGCCCAGAGATCCTGAGAAAGTTGCCTGACAGGGTCTGTAGGACACTGGAATCCTCTGGTGGTGGCAAGGCCTCTGGCAGGGTCTGGATACCACATAGGATGTCTGGCAGCTGGTGGGCTCACAGAAGGTTTCCTGACACCCACTGTGGAGAGAGGAGCCCAACTGGTGGGTGATGGGAGTTTGGAGGTCAGTGCTGTAGAAGATATTGTTGGGGTAGGAGGAACCACAAGAAGAGGCTGGGTATTGCAGTTGGCCCCCAAAAGACAGGGAAGAGAAGTTTCCAGAGCAGCTGTTGCAGGACATGTTGAGAAGACAGAAGGATGTTCACGGTTTGAATGACCCTGCTTAGACACAAGATATTTATATACCCCTGTCCTTGGGTGCGTCATCCCCACAGTTGATGCGCACAAGTTACCTGCGGCTTTAATTGAATTGAAAATACCATCATAGTCATGCATATTTACTTTTTGTGTGGTTTCACAACTGGATAGAGCGGTGATGTCTGTGGCCCAGGAATTCAGGTAATAGTGTTCAATCTTCAAAGCTATTATTCATCTCCCATCAGCAAAAGGTCACCCTGCACCTCACTCAGAAAACTGCTTTAGAGGTAGACTGTCAGGGCTGAGGGAAGCTAGCTTAATTAAAAATAATTGATACCCGTTGCACAATCTGTCTGAAAATTGTTGCCATCTGGCTAGCAAACTTGCTCATGGATCCACTCATAGTCATTTCTTTTAAACAAAAACGCGCACTGATTGCTGCCTCAAAATGGCAAGCTTCTGTGATGAATAGTGTCATCCGAATGCTGGCTTGCAAGATGTATGAGAACTTTAAAAAAATAAAATGGACCTCAGTTGAACAGCTTTACTGAAATATGGAGAGATCCCTTTCTCATGCATCTGCCTAAAAATGGAAACCAGATATTTAATTCCATTCTTAACTTTTATTTGTGTGTGTATTAGGGGGTGGGTGTGGAGTGTGGTGGTCGGGGGAGATAACTGTGCTGTGAGCTAAACACTTTATGCTTTGTGATAGTATGAATCCTAAAAATTATTCACCTCAGATGATAACATGCATTAAAAGGAACAAATCTTGAGGTAATGATGATGTTCAATATATTTCTATCTCTAATCAGGGTCATTATTTCCTACTGAAAACAGTCCCCATAACCTGGTAAACGTGCTCCATCTAAAGGAAGCTTATAAAGCAATTGCCTTGAGGTGTCAGGCCAAAGGAGCCATTGGCAGGAGATGCTTCCTCTGCCCAGAAGGCTGCATATATCACTTTGACTTAAATTGTTTTCAGGTGCTCCTGACAAGTATTGCAAAATGTCCAAAGTGAGGGTCATATTTCCTCAATTTCCATGGCTTGTGTTCCACCTCAGTGCAAGAGTCTAATGAAGACTGATGCCTGGAGGTGGAGGAGAGAAAGTGTAGAGGGCTGTATTGGTGTGCCTTAGGTGCTGTTTGATTTGTTTCGTATTATAGAACATTTCCTTCTAGTTCAGAACAATATAGATTTCTTTTTTGGATGAGAAAGAACCAGTTGTTTTCCTTCTGCATCATTTTCTCTTTATTCTTCTTCCTCATTCTCCTGTTTGTTAAATTAAAAAGTTCAGACTCAGTTTAGAATTTGGAGGATATTTTCACAAATATCCCCAGCTTTCTTTTTTTTAATCAGATTAGAATTCTAGTTATAGAAACCTGATTCAATATTCCCAGAACTGTCAGGATAGAGGTTTCTTTACCTACAAGAACAGCTCCTTGCAGATTTGTTCTTTAAAAATTAGACCAAGTAAACATAATTCTTCATAAAATTAGTCTCAGCTCATTTTCGATGTATACTTTATGCTGAGAACGGGTGATATACAGTTTTTCCATTTCCACAAGGTCATTTAGGCAATTTCCTGTGCCAAGGTACCATCTCTGCAGTTAGCTATACTGCACCTAATAGAAAAGTACACAAAATTCCAAGACTTAGCTTTCTAGGAGGGAGATATAAATTACTCGATAGGTACACAACATTAGCAACCCCCAAATCATTTCTTCTCCAGGTCACATTCTCATCCCTTTTGAGACCCTCCCCTGCCCACATTTCAATAGATAAGGGCCATTCGCATAACCATGAATTCTTCAAATTATTAATCTTCCTTCTGTGACATCTGCATGTGGCAGAGACTCTCCACATTTCTTAATGTTTTTAAAACATTTTGCAATAAAAAATATCCCACCATCTGAGAGGAAAACATGTATGGCCATAAAATAATGTTTTGGTGTTGCTACTTTATTGCCAGTGACACCAGTACCACCAAGAGGGGAGAGGTGTTGCTTAGGAAGATAAGGGTATTTTGATAATCAATCTATGTAAGTTTATTAATGACTTCCATGATGAAGCAGTGAAGGTGTGGTAAACACTGGATTAGAATTTAAAAAAATGAAAAGGATGACAGCATATCCTGGTATGATTGATTGAGCTTACATGTGGTGCTGAATATGTGACCTAGAAAGAATGAACAGAAAAGAGGGAAGAAAAAAAACAAGAGAAGAGAAAGGCAAGACAACAAAGGGATTCTCATTCTGTGATAAATATTTTACAATAAATGTTCTAAGCACTCATGCAAACACTGGTTCTCTCTACCTTATGCAATCATGCGCACAAACACAAGTTGACAAAGTGTGTGATAAACAATGTTGACCTTGAATGTCTTTCCTCCGGAGGGTTAGTATGGTATTGTTCCTTTCATAAATTCCACAACACTTGGAAGAAGAAATGTAAAATGGCCATTTATTTTGTTTTGTTTTCAATCAAGTTTCTTACTTGGAGCACCGTAATTCTCTTTCTAGAAGACAAACTTTGGTAGAGTGTTGAACCCTGCAGGATTATTGCTGTATCATCCATTTGATCACATCTTGTAGGTGGGAATAAATAAAGCATCTATCTCAAAGACTTAATTACGTTGGCTTTCATTCGACTTACTGGAGATATTGAGAAATTGCATTTTTGCTTAATGAATAATTGCTTTGAAAACTAATGAAATTCCTTCATTTAGAACTACACATTCATGAAAAGGCCTTTGAAGGTTAGAGTATTTCATTTTTACTGGCGCCTAATTAGGCATTCTCATTAAAATGGATACAGACTGCTACACCCATCTCTCCGGTATATAAGGACCTGTGTTAGATGGTGGTATTCACACTCGCAGATTCATCACTGCAACTCAACTGCAACCAGAGCTCCTGACAACATGTCTTACGTTTGCAACTCCGGGAACTTCTCCTCACAGTCTTTTGGAGGCTTCTTGAGGCAGCCTGTCTCCACCTATGGCTCTTTCTACCCCACCAACAACGTAGTCTATTCTCCAAAGAACTTCCAGCTGGGCTCCTCTTTCTATGGACAGCAGGAGACCTTCGAGGAGCCACTTGAAAACCACTCACCCTGTGTTGGGACCAGATACTTCCAGACATCCAGCTTCCGGCCCAGGCAGTACTTCTCCAGCCCCTGCCAGGGAGGCTTTACTGGCTCTTTTGGATACGGCAATTCAGGCTTTGGGTCTTATGGGTATGGAAGCTCTGGCATTCGCTCTCAGGTCTATGGATCCAGCTTCCACCGTCCAGGATTCTTTTCCTCCAAGAGCATCCAATCATCTTACTACCAGCCAGGCTTTAGCTCTCGCTTTTGCGGGTCAGCTTTCTGAACATTCCAGTTGTCGCTTGATGGTTGCTGAACTTTATGGAATTCAAACAGCTTTCCAACATCTAGGACTGAGCGATGAGCATTTGTCTCTCTCGGACTCAGCATCATAATCTACCTGGAAGCAGATGATTTTTTCTGAGGACACAGTAACTTTGACCTTTGACCTTTCAACTCTTCTGCAAAAGAGAGCTTACATTTTAATTATTATGTAAATTCTTGGATCTCTTCTTTTACCATCCATCTTTCTAAATGTCTTCTCTCTTATTTCCTTAAGGTTCCCTACTCAAGTTTATTTTAAATAAACTTACATTTCTAGCATTACTTTTGGCATTCCAGTTTGGCTTTTTTGTTTCATCAATGACATATTTATTCAATCACTGCATCTGATACTTTCACTGTTTTCAGATTTTTCCCCTCTGTTTTATTAGCATTTGGTTTGATAGAGAAGCAGAAGCATTGGAAGGAAATTAGTATATGTGTCTTATGCCATCTTTCATGTTTTTGAAAGGTTTATATCAGCTCATGGGATGGGCCCATTTGTCCATGTAGGTACTTAAGACATTTTCTTTTCAGTAGGCATTCAAAGAAAAGAAATTATAATTTCTTACTATACACCAAAGACTGTGATGAACAAAGTGTAGGTTCTCTTATTTCAACAAGTACAGTTCTAGCTTGACATCATGTAACAAGTCAATAATGGAGATGAAAACATGACATTCAGAAGAAACACTAAGAAGGACTTCACAAAGAGGCACAGACTATCATGTGAGCTTGCCATTAAAAGCAGAAAGCACTAGCAATATAGTTCTTTCATTAATTATTTCATTTAAATCAAAAGAATCTTGCTGATGTGTCACAACCACCTAATGTGTCCATTAAAGAGCAGCTGTAACAGAGGGTTAGACAGGAAAGGCTTTGTCTTTGGAAAATACCAGGGAGGGAAATGAGGAAGTATCTGGGAAGTATGCCTGAGCTCAGTGAAGGACATAGAGAAGAAAGGCACTTACTTCAAAGATCCCTTTCGTGGGGAAGAAAGGGTACTAGAGATTGAAGTCAGTTTGTTGCAGATGCTGAGCCATTGGCATATAAATAAGATACTGTTGAGCTTTAAAATAATTTCACTTTCAATAAGGTTTTGAAACATTGCCCAGACTACCTTTAGAATTGACATTCTCCTGCCATAGCCTCCTGAGTAGCTGAAAGTATAAACATCTGTCACCATACCTAGATTTTTAGAGAAGAAAAATAGACCCTTGAAAATTTTCTTGGCCATTTAGCCATCTAAGGAGACTTACAACAAACAACAAACAAACAAAAAGGTTTATCTTATTGCTACTGCCAAGTTCATTCACTAGTAAGCAAAAAACAAAAGATTGTTGTGGTAGATAACATCCACTAACTCACTGATGGGCCTGTCAACCAATAAAGTAGGAAATATGGAGACTCCCACTTCATAGCATTTACAATTCAGTGTTTATTCTGTTTTAAGTTAAAAAAAATCACTGATAAACCAATGTGAAATGATAAACAGTGATGGATGATTTTCCATGAGTACCTTAAACAGAATTTGTTTGATAAAAATCAGTCACATGCCAAATTATCTATAGTACTCATTAGATGAAACTCCAATTATGTAACTGAGACAGATAGTTATATTTTGTTTTAATTAGCATTAAGCAGAATGCTCTTAATAGGTTAAAGCTGGGAAACTACTTCATTTTGTTCTTCCCCCACTTCTAAACTATGTTATTTTGTGTGAGGCTCTGAGTTCCATGAAAACCTCAGTAATACAATGGAAAATCTATTCCCAAACTAAGATTATAAGAAACAGCTTTATTTCATCTTAATAGCTAAGCCATACCCAATATTAGTTAACACTTTTAAGGCCACATCAGAAAATTTGCCTTTTCCCTCTCTTCTGGCCTGTGGTGACGTCCTACCATTCCTGTGCTCCCCACCCCCACTTGGAGTAGATTGATGGTATCTCTCTTTAAATCTTTTTCAGGTACCTTGTTGTCCACAAAAGTAGGCCTCCTCACTGATAAAAGAGAAGTATAAGGGGAGAAACAATGACATGATGTAATACTTCTGGTTTTAACACAAAGCTTTAGGCTACCAGTGGCAACATTACTTAGTTGTCCATTTCAGATGGAAAAAGCCAAGGTTAAACATAAGAAACATTTCACTAGTGCTTCAGAAAATCCATGTTGACTAAGGTATTGGAGATCATAGCATAAAAGTCTATGTAAACAACTTTGTAATGAAGCCAACAGTTTATATATGGAAGCCTTTATTTCTCTATGGAGGTATATATTTCTGTATGCTGTCTTTGCTATGCCCACTAATCCTCCATTATTCTCCTCTATGAAAGACCTTCTTTAAGCCAACTTGCTCACGGTTTCTCTTCTAACACCTCTCTGTGTAGATGTCCAAACTGGCTTATAAGTGCACTCATTATTAATGCAGAAATATTGAATACTTCGTTTTATTAGATTATCTGGAGGCATCAGAAGTTATTCCTTAAGGAGAGAAAGTCTTTAGAACAGAACATTTTTAGTTGTTATATACCTTGTAATATATATTTTTATGCACTACTCAGGTAAAGCAATTTTAATGTTCCTTAAAATAGTATTTGGAGTAGGACCTTTTGCATGTTATTAGGTTTGGAATATCAATGTTTTGTGTTGAGATTAGTATTTACATAAAAAGATGAAATGACATCTTTCAGATACAGAGACAAGGGACCATCAACAAACTGAGGGAGGGGGGCAGAGAGAGAGAGAGAGCAAAAGAAAGAGAGGGAGAGAGAGAGAGAGAGAGACCTATCCTAGAACAAGGACTCTATTGGCTCATATCTTCTTGCATTTCCTCATCTCTATAAGTGTGAGAAATAGTTGTTTAACAAATATAATCTAAAAAATCTTATTGTAGCAGGCTAACCTAAGATATCTCATTCATCTGAATACCCCCAATTCCATTACAAAGTATTTTTTGTATAGGGAGGTACTCCCTCTCTCCCTCCCTTCCTCCCTCCTTCCCTCCCTACCTTTCTGCTCTCATCTTTCTCTCCTTCTCTTCTCCCCTTCATGCATAGCTCCCGTTTTTTCTTCTGTCTATCAATCTATTGTGTTCCAGAGAGATTTTCAAACTGACTCCCATGACTTCGGGGTATCAAAGGCTGGAATTTCATGAACAGTTTCTGTTCTTCTCAGACCTTTAATTGAAGTCTTCATCATGATGATTCCCTTTAGTTTGGGATCAGCCAACCACAAATGGGAATTACATCTACAAAATACTTTTTATATAGACTTCAAGTTTATATTTGATCAAACACCCCCATACCACAACCGAACCAAACTGGCATAAAAAAATTAACTATCAGTGTCCATTTCCTAGAAAACCTGGCTTCTCACAGATTGTTTCATAAGTATAAATTCTACATGACTGCAAAAGACCTGAAGCAAGAGCAAATGAAACTCTTAACTCATAATCTTCCTATTACTTTCTAAAATTTATTTTAAAAATCTTGTATCTTAACATGACACTTATATTAGATTCTCGGGATCATTTAACTAGTACTCAGTGGTATTTGTAAGTTTCTCAATAAAATGTCTGTGCATATTCAAACAGTTGGCCTTTTGTGCCCACAGTCCCTTTGCTCTCTCCAGTGAGGCATTGATGAGGACATAGCAGTGCACAAAAGCCCAGCTGCATGTACGAGGCATGATAGGACAGAGGGCAGTACCTAAAGCTTCTGGACCTATGTGTCCATTTTATGCTGTTTCTGGCCAACATATTTTCAATGTTTATTTTGTTATTCTGTGACCTTTCTTAGGTCACATCCTTACGTTTTCATACCCTGCCTTTTATAAATGTGTTTCTTGCACTTCAACCAAGCATTTTCTGTTTTTGCCTTCTCTGTGCTTTGTCTCTATTCATATTTGTATTGGATAATCCTTGTTAGAATTTGAGTGTTGTGTGTCTGATGTGAGGTAAGCTCTTTCTCTAGAAGACAGTGACAATGTCCAGGTGTGGCAACCAAAAATGTCCTTAATTTTGTTAAAATACTATCTCCAGGTCAATGGTTCTCAACCTATGGCTTGTGACCCCTTTGACAATTGAACAATCCTTCCATAGGGGTCAACTAAGACCACCAGAAAACACATATATTTATATTGTAATTCATAACGGTAGTGAAACTACAATTATTTTGGTCTTTTGAAACAGGGTTTCTCTGTGTAGCTTTGGAGCCTGTCCAGGGACTAGCTCTTGTAAACAGGCTGGTCTTGAACTCACAGAGATCTGTCTGCCTCTGCCTCCTGGGTGCTGGGGTTAAAGGCATGCGCCACCACCATCCAGCATGAAATTACATTTATGAAATAGAAATGAAAATAATTTTATGTTTGGGGTCATCGCAGCATGAGGAACTTATTAAAGGGTCACAGCATTAGAAAAGTTGAAAACCACTGCTCTAGGCAATGTTTTTCACATTTAAAGAGCCACAATTTTAGATTTATATCCTAGGAATGAACTGTGTGGGTTTATGCTTAGCTATGCACACTGAACTCAAGCCCTATTGAGGATGAGAATAGAATACTATGGATTCAACACAATACCACTTTATTTATAAATGAGGAATTCAAATTATAATTAATAAGTACTTTGTGCACATAAACCTAAAATAATGACAAGTCCCATCAGCAAAGAATAATTATACTTATTTGCTGATGGGACTAAAATTAGAGAAAAGTAATGGCATTTTTAAAAAAATTCTACTTTCTGTTCCAAAATGATTTCATTGTGGTGATACCCATCCTGCTAATTATAAACCTAGAAGTGATAGTAAGTCAAATTGTGTTCTCATTGCTCTTTCAGAAATCAAAACTACTCAAGACCAGGCACTATAGTTCATAGATAGTTTTACTGTCTCCTGAGTTACAAGAACCTCACTCATTTTGTCCCACTAATTCTATGTACAGTACAAAACCAATAATTAAGGTA